TGGATGGCTCTGTTAAATTGACTGATTTTGGGTTCTGTGCCCAGATCACGCCTGAGCAAAGTAAATGGAGCATGATGGTGGGAACCCCTTATTGGATGGCACCAGAGGTGGTGACTTGAAAAGCTTATGGTCCGAAAGTTGATATTTGGTCTCTGGGAATTATGGCAATTGAAATGGTGGAAGGTGAACCCTCTTACCTTAATGAAAATCCACTCAGGGCATTATATCTGATAGCCACTAATGGAACCCCAGAGCTCCAGAATCCTGAGAGACTGTCAGCTGTATTCCGTGACTTTTTAAATCACTGTCTTGAGATGAATGTGGATAGGTGAGGATCTGCCAAGGAGCTTTTGCAGCATCCATTTTTAAAATTAGCCAAGCCTCTCTCCAGCCTGACTCCTCTGATCATCGCTGCAAAGGAAGCGATTAAGAACAGCAGCCGCTAGGACTGCCAGCCTTACCCCTCACCATCTCCCTCATGAGTAAGACTGAAATAAAACTCTGCTGCAAGAAAGACGAAAGAAAGGACAGTCGAAAGGGGTGGGGGTTCTTTACCTTTAAAATGAATAGAAACTTCTGATAAGCCTTTTTCCTACTCCCTCAGATTATGTAATTTATTTGTAAGCCTGAATCGCAGCCCAAATAGGGCAGCAATGTTGAAGTGGCCATGAAGTGGTCACTTCCACCGTGAAGCGAAAGAGCCAGTAGTGAATCCCCTCATTTTGTGCATTCGCTTTGAAGAAAAACAAGTTTCTCAAAGGTGCACACTTCCTCTTCATAATGTTGTGTTTGTTTTTAAGTTAGTGAGTAGTCCCTCTTGCATTTGAACCTCCTTCGAAACTCCTTACCCCATGTGATGTTTTTCACTTGCATTGTCATTAGATGTCCAGAAAAAACAGATGTCAAAATGTTTTTTTTAAATAAAAAAAAGCAAAAAAGCAAAAAAAAAAAAAAAATAAGAAGAGAAATTTCACTGTACCTGCAACAGCCCCTTCCCCATTCAGCATAGCCTGGTGCCAGGACAGAATGCCCTATCTCATGACTTTTCCCATGAAGGGTGGGGAAAAGCAGGGAGGAGCATAGATCTATGTTTTAGATTTTCAGTGGGATACCTAGGGACTACTTTTTATCTTGCCTCACATGGAGTACTGGTGGAACCAGCTTAGTTTGGATGCCTACGAGTCTTTGAGAAAAAGAAGAATACAAGGTAGCTTGCTGCAGGAGAAAGTGCATGAATTGAAACTTCTCCCTAAGAAGGAGTGAGAAGAGTGTATGCACCTAGAATTTTGGATTTCTGGAGGGATGCCTGATGGACTGGTATCTGTCTTGGATGACTTTAGGAACTAATGGGAAACCGACATACCTTGGGTGCTTGGTGGCCACTGAGAACAAGGGAAAGTGGGGTGGCTTGCTACTGTGGAATCAGAGAACTTGCAGTAACACAGAGGAAGCAAGAGATTATAAGCTCCTGAAAAACTAGCAAACATTTCTAACTGAAAAACTGAATACATAGGCCCAAAGAAGTCACATTCCCTACAAAAGGTTTTACAGGTCTGCAGAATCTGAAGTTGGGCAGGCTGGTGAGGAATTTCCCTTGTACAAAGCCAGTTCATAAGAATTGGGAGAGATGGTAGTTTTTCAAATGTATGCAATGAAACACAAAGTTATGAGACAACAAAGAGGCATGGAAACATAGTCCAAAAAAACCCAAAATAAACCCCCAGAAGCGGATCCTAAAGAAACAGAGTTATATGTATCATCTGACAAAGAATTCAAAATAACCATCATAAAAAGTTCTAGGAGCTCCAGAACGTAATCCATGAACAAAATTAGAAAATCATCAGAGAGACAGAAAATATAAAAAAGAACCAGACTCAAAATTTTGGAGCTAAAGAATACATTAATTGAACAGAAAATCTTTCTAGAGGATTTCAACAGCAAACATGATCAAGCAGAAGACCAAAATATCAGCAAACCCAAGCACATTTAAATTATCCAGACAAAGGAATAAAAAGAAAAGTAAAGTAAGCACACGAGATTTGTAATATACTGTCAGTCAGACCAGTGCATACATATGTGCATTACAGGAGTTCAAAGAGAAGAGAGAAAGAAAGGGGGCAGACAGCTTATTTAAAAAATAATGGGGCTCAGCGCCTGTGGCTCAAGTGGCTAAGGTGCCAGCCACATACACCTAAGGTGGTGGGTTAGAATCCAGCCCGGGCCCACCAAACAGCAATGATGGCTGCAACCAAAAAAATAGCCAGGCATTATGGCGGGTGCCTGTGGTCCCAGCTACTTGGGAGGCTGAGGCAGGAGACTCGCTAGAGCCCAGGAGTTGGAGGTTGCTGTGAGCTGCAATGCCACGGCACTCTACCCTGGGGGACATCTTGAGGCTCTGTCTCAAAAAAAAAAAAAAAAATGGCCCATGCCTATAGTCTC